CGCTCACAGCAACCTCCAACTCCTGGGCTCAAGCGAGTCTCCTGCCTCAGCCTCCCAAGTAGCTGGGACTACAGGTGCCTGCCACAACACCTGGCCATTTTTTGGTTGCAGCCATCATTGTTGTTTGGTGGGCCCAGGCCGGGGATTCGAACCCGCCACCTTAGGAGTATGTGGCTGGCGCCTTAGCCGCTTGAGCCACAGGCGTCGAGCCAATCATTTTTTTCAATACACTGGATTATTAGGGAAAAGAGGCCAGTGATCCCTGAAAGATGGGAAACTACTGATCCATTCCCTACTTTGATTTTCAAGGTCATGATGCAGGGAGGAGGAACCAACCCAGGCACAACCGGTTAGACTTCCCGAATTGAGGAGATGAAAGTGGAAGGACATGAAGACAGCTAATGTTCCACAGCAGTGGACCAGACAGAGCTGCAGAGACAAGTCCTAAAACCTGCAGAGGGTGCCCCTTGAGTATTCAGCACCATGAAGGATCAGTCACGCATAAGGGAACTCCCAAGGCCAGGGAAGGTTAAAGGAAGCAGCACCTGGAGCTCACACAAGGCGAGGAGTAAGACTTGTTCCTACTGACCCACACCACAAAGCCTCCCGGCTCACTGCACTGCGCAGACCGTCCCGACTCAGTGCTGGGGAAGCAGCAGCTCTACAACAAATACTGTTAGTGCTCCTCTCACTCTCACTAAGCTTAAAAGACCTCAAAAGGCTTAAACTGTTCTCAAGGAACTTTGTTTCTGAACAAAGTTCGAGAATATTTAAATACCAAAAAATAAAAAAAACCTCAGCATCCTACAAGATAAAATGTGCTATATTTAGCATCCAATAAAAAACTGCCAACCAGGAAAGAAATACGAAAATATGACTTCCAATAAACAGAAAAATCAATCAATATAAACTCAAATGTCAGAATTAGCAGACACGGGAGGCGTTGAAACTTGTTACTCTGACATGCTAAAGAACTACAGAATGAGCAGCTGTGTGGAAATGGGAACCACACTTTAAAAAAGGCCCAAACTGAACGTCTATGAATAAACACTACATCCGAGATGAAACACACACTGAAAGAGACAACAGAATAGACATAGCAGAAAATACTAGTTAACATAGACAGTAATAGAAATGATCTAAAATTAAAAAAAAGAATTTTAAGAAAAAAAAGCAAAACCTATGTATGCATTGGTGAGCTGTGGGTCAATTTCTAGCTGCTTCTGTAATTGAAAAATAGAAGAAAAAAATTTTTTATGATAAAATAGTTGGAAATTTCCCAACTGGTTGAAAACTGTGGACCTGAAAAACTCAATAAACCCCAAAAACAAGAAATAAAAGCTATACTATAGCAAATTATAATCAATTAACTTAAAACCAATGATGAAAAATCTTAAAAGCAGAGAAACATGCACAGAGGAACAATAACGGCACCTGTCAGAGAACACAATGCAAATGAGGAGGCGATGGATCCACATCTTCACTGGAAGCAGAAGACTGTCAACCTAGAATTCCATATCCAACAAAATTCTTAAAATCAAAGGTGGTTTATACTAATCATGCTTAGGCAGGGCCACTGGTTTGTGCATTCCAAACAAATAGGAACATAAATGCTAAGAATTCATCAACAGCTGTACCAACAAGTAATGAACACATTTCTGTAATCAGGAATGTTAAAGGACATCCATCCATCCGTCAGGCAGAAGGCAAGTGTTATCTATGTAAGTAATGAAGAGCACAGGACAAGGCACCTATGTGGGTAAAAATATAGTACCACTTATCTAAAACACATCTTTAAACCCCATTTAGATCAAAATAATGTCTCTTGCTGTTTTAGGGAGTTATTAAGCTTGGCACAGCTTTGTTAATACTTACCAACTTGACCATATGTAAGGCTAATATAAAACCAACAGTAGGTTAATTCCTAAAACATTATAAATCTACCTCTATAGGTTTTAAGGCTTAATGAGTACCTAAAATCTTAGAACAAGTCCAGTGACTTAACATAGAATTACCCTCACCAACATGCATCAATGGAGCCAGATTTTGCATGCCAGCATGTGGATTATACTATCTTTACCATAAAGTACTCTACCAGGGGCATCCAACCTCAGCTCTCAGCTGGTTATGAATGCTTATCTGTGGTTGCAGATATCACAGAATTATGCATGTATCTTCTTTTTGCTCATGGGACCTTTTGCTTTTATATTTAACGTGCAGCCCAAGACAACTCTTAGCTAAGGATTCATAGCCAGCCACAGGCTGTGGGTGGATGCCCTCGCACCCAATTTTACTTTGGGTAAATCTGAACAAGACAGAAAGTCACAAACAATTAAGCTTTCAGATATATTAAACAAGATGGTATTCCTTTCAAAATAATAGGTAGGCTAGGGCATGATTTTTATGGATTTACGTAAGACTATCTTGCATGTCCCTCCCATAGGCATACCAAGTCCTCCTTCCAACTATCATTTCTAAGGCTCTCTTCTCCACCGATGAATACACAGTATGTACTTTTGTTATCTGCTAGTCTAGAGGAACAATGAAAATTGAATAGAAAACCTTCCCTTAAAGAAATCAGTAAGGTAAATCCATTAGCACTAATAATGCAACACACTTCAGTCAATAAGAGATTAATAAACATGTAAATTTATTTTAAATCAGTTTGGTACATGATACAGATTCGTTTTGCAGTTTTTAATGAACTAAAATAGAAATTTCTAAATACAGCAGTGTCTGCCTGTGCAACAAATATCTGTAAGGTACAATAAGGTATTTGATAGAAGTACATCTGCATGAACAAATCAGATGAAAAATCTGAAAAGGTTTCTGTATACCTTCTGGATTTTAAAAAAAAAACCCAAAAATTATTAATGGCTCAAGATACTACCTTGCAAAAGGAAGAGGGGAAAGAGTGAAAAGGCTGTGAGTTGTTTCAAGAGCATGTCTGCAAACCTGCAAACTCTAATTTTCTATTATGCTTTTACTGTTACAGCAGTGCTCAAGATTACAGAAGAAACTTCAAGTTACATTTTCATAAAACTTGCTACATGTGTTGATACTGATGTGTGTACCCAGGTAAATGACAATTACATCATTGTAGCTAATTTTTGCCACCTTGGGAAGAATGGAAATTTTGTATATGTCAAATGAATCTTACAGCACTCACTAAAAATTAACAGCCATGGCACCATGATAAATTTTGTGAGGTCCCCAGATGTTACTACGAATGGAAACAAAAATGTGAGGTAAACCAATCTTTTCCCAAAAACCTTTGTAGCCAGAGATTTTTAAACAATTAAGGCACTTGAAAACATTAGGTATATGTACAAGTGTGCAACTAAAACAAACTAGCTGTACCAGCAAGTAACAAAGCAACAGTAACTGTTCGTTTTAAGAACTTTTAATTAAATGCAAAGTATCAGTTTATGAACTGAACCAAAGACATTTGTCATTTCCTACTATAAAATATGGAAAACCAAGTACTAACCTCAGTCACTATAGGCTAAAGACATTCTAACAACAACAAAAAAAAAAAAAAGAAGAAGAAGAAGAAGAAGAAGAAAGAAAGGAAAAGAAAAGAAAAAAATCAAAGACCTAGAAAAGTAAATCTCATTCAAACTAATTAAGGCCTCTGAACTAATCCAATGTGTCAAAGGCAAGGGAGAAGCAACCCTCTGAAACTGAGGGGGAAAAAACCCCAAAAAACTAGTGCTTTACAAAACTATAGAAATGAAAGGATGCATGCCTATTAGACTATGGGACCGAAACCAAGAAAAAAGGAAGAGAGAAAGGAGAAAGAAAAAGAGAAAGCAGTCTATTCATCCAGGGCAATCATCAAAAATTTATAATCCGATCAAAAATTCTTAAGTTTTCTGAAATCACACTGGTCTTATTTGCTGTCTGAAAACTTAAAATGATTGTCTCATTTGAACAGTCTGTAAATTAATCTACAACTTATTTCCTTCTTACCCCACGAAAGAAGTTATTTTTCAAGACAGCTTGGTGAAAATCCTTTCAAGTTACAATATAGTTAAGGATACTATTTTGAAGTATAAAGGAAATGTAATCAATTTTGTTTCTATACTTTGCAACAACCCTAAGAAAAATGTTGGGAGGTTCAGTATGTGAAGTTTTTTATTTTGTATCCTTTAGCTTAAGTTTCTCAGCTCTGAAATAAAGTAGATAAATTTTCAATTAAATATTAACAGTACGGAATCTCAAAGCAGGTTGACTAGTGCTCATTATCAACAGTTACATTTTCAGACCAATCTTTACCTTCCTCAATGTGAAAGAACAAATTATAAACATTAAGCTACGGCATATCTTTCAGTCTGTCTTTTAAGGCACTGATCTTTATTTTCTTAATGATATAAGGTGCTTTACAAGTATGAACAATAACCTGTTACACATTAATGGTTTGTATCCTTTCCACTCATTTCTTTAAATCTGGAATGTAATTCCCTGTGTGACAATTCTAATGTAGAAAAAATAACTTATCAAACACAAAATTTTAGTCTATATAGTTTAGTACTGCTAAATTTGTAAATTTATTCCAATTTTGAAATGATAGCCAAATCCACCCTGATTGATACTCATTTGGCACACTCTCAATTCTGTTCATTAAATTATATCTTGAGTTAGGATGAAAATAATGCAGCTTTCAGGCTTTAAAATGACTACATTTTTTAGACTGCCAAGAGTCATGATGCTGTCTACACAAGACAACATTTTCTATCACTTATAGAACGTTACGTTTGGCATGTGAAGAAAAAACATATAATCCCACAGCAGCAGCCATTTAAAATAAAAGAAGACAGCCATGAGGATTCATGCAGAATATTTTAAGTATTTCTGTTGAACAAAATGATTTAACTGATTTTTCTTCAGCAACAATGCTCCCAAGTATCTTAGAAGCATCCGCTGCAAATTTAAAGATCCTGGAATAGTGTCTTCCACGTGGGACATCTTGAAAGATAGTATTTTGGTTTCATTGAGTTACATGAATGAATCACCAGTCCTTGTTAATTTATAGGGTCTGTTTACAGAGTGTGGTAATTTCGTTCTTTAGATTTACAGAATTTATACAGAAAGAAAATTACAGCCTGCACACCCAAGACAAGGACAATTCCACCAATGAAACTGGCTGCATCAAAGGTAGATTTCCGAATAGGTTGTGAGGTTGGAGTCAAAGTGGTATTTGTTGGACCTGTTAGATAAGACAAGAAAAAACAATCCTCAGCAAGTCTCATGATCCTCTCTTACAATTTTAAGACCCACTTAAGCTTCTATTTTGCCATGTCAAATTCTATAAAGTAATTTCTTTTCAGTCAAGTCTTTACAGCTAGAATTTATCTCTAATTAAAGAAGACATTTATCAATCACATTTTTCATTCCATACAAGGATATCAAGCGGTCAGTGCTGCTGTACTACTTCAAATATGAAAATAACAGAAATAGATTCTAGTAGTATAGAAAACTATGCCAAGAAGCACTTTAAAAATATGCAATAATTTGTTCAAACAATACATTTCAAGTTAATTAGTAGTATAAATATTAATGTGTTGAAAATTCTTGATTTTTGAAATTAGGTATCATAAAAGTTAAGACCATATAAAGTCAAGGCCAAGGTATAGTGGCTCATACCCGTAACCCCAGCATTTTGGGAGGCCAAGGCAGGCTGAGTACTTAAGCCCAGGAGTTTGAGACCAGCCTGGGCAACATAGCGAGACCCTATCACTAAACAAAGAAAAACTTATGTAGGCACAGTGACATGCTCCTGTAGTCCCAGCTACTTGGGCGGCTGAGAGGAAGGTGGATTGCTAAAGCCTAGAAGTTGAAGGCTGTAGTGAGTTATGACTATACTACTGCACTCCAGCCTGGACAATAGAAAGAAATTCCATCTCAAAAAATAAAAAAATGTAAAATGATCAAAAATTCAGCTGCAATTTTTCAAGTTACAAAAATAATAAGAATCGGTGGCTCATGCCCATAATCCCAATACTTTTGGGGAGGCTGAAGTAGATCATTTGAGCACAAGAATTTGAGGTTATAGTTAGCTATCGATGAGCCACCATACTCTAGCCTGGGAAACAGAGCGAGATCCTATCTCTAAAACAAATAAAATAAAAATCTGGAGGCCAGGCAGTGGCTCATGCCTATAATCCTAGCACTCTAGGACGCCACAGTAGGAGGATCCCTTGAGCTTAGGAATTTGAGACCAGTCTGAGCAAGAGCAAGACCCTGTCTCTGCTAAAAACAAAAAAAAACTAGTTGGGCATTGTGGCAGGCAACTGTAGTTCCAGCTATTCAGGATTGCCTAAGCCCAAGAGTTTGAGGTTGCTGTGAGCTATGGTGCCACAGCACTCTACCCTGTGGTGACTGAGTGAGACTCTGTCTCAACAACAACAACAAAAATCTATAATTTACAATTTCAACAAGCAAAAAAACTTACCATTAAAAGCATCTTAAATAGTACTCTGTCAGCAAATTTTACCAAAGTATTTACCAAGTCATAAGGAAAAAAACATGAAAATCTGAGTTTCTTTTCAGGAAGTAAAATGCTACAAGAGTAAAAAAAGAACAGTAGCAAAAGCATGAAGCCAAAAAAAAAAAAAAAAATTACAAAAGGCAAGTAAAAGATTCATCAGTATCAAGTCAACAGTTTATTTTAAATATGAACAGAAAAAGAGTTCCTGTGTCCTAAGGCAGTCAAATTAATTACAAATCACGAGTTAATCACAAGTTAATTTTCATATGCAACTTCAACAGTTTCTGAAGAATGTTTAGAAATGATGTGGTGCATACCTGGTGATGATCTTGGCTTTTCTTGGTAAAAAGGATGGCTATTAGTAGTTACAAATTAAACTTCACATGTAAGTTGTGTTGAAAAAGTTTATAAAAACATTATTATTTAACTCTAAAGTGCCATGCCAAATGTAATTATACAGTTAAAAACTAGAAGAGGACTCTCAGCTTTAAAATTATTATTATCCTTTAGTAGCTTCTAATTTGGTCCCCCACAAGAGAAGAATTTCAACTCCATAACCATTTCTGAGCAAAACTAGAAAACGATGGTGGAAAAAGTAAACGGCAACACTGTACACACATCCAACATGACTGGGAGTTTTAAAAACCTCAATTACCTGATGTAGGAACTGTGGAAGTTGTAGAGGAAGAAGGCAGAGTTGTGTTTTCAGCTAAAATGAAAACAGAATGGATTAAAAAGTTTAAATTTCTAACTTCCAGTTACATAACATCTTTTTAAAATAATGCTTCCAACTTCAGCCTGCTTTAAGGTTTTTAGAGATGAAAGCGAAATTTCAGTTAAGTTCCCTAACATATCTAGGCATCTAAGAACACTGGCATTTAAAGGTACTTAAAAACATTCCGCAATCATAAAATTCTTAGCTTTGTTAATATCTATGTATATATCTAAGTATAAAATCTACATATGCATCTGGATAGTCTGCAAAAAAAGGGCACACAAGGGCAAGAATCTGCAGGTGAGAGGAACTACAGATTCTCTATAGTTCTCTTCTAAGCAAATAACCTTGCTTCTAACACAAAAACTACTGAAGTCATGGAAAGAAGTGCAATTTAGTACTTATGGGGGTGTCAAAATTTGCCTATCTTTACCTTCTTCACTTCAGGAATTGGCAAATTTTCCATAGAGGAGGAGACAGCGAATACTTTAGTCTTTCTGCACTGTGTAATGCAGAAACAACCAAAGACAGCATGCAAATCAATGAGCACGGTGTGTTCTGATAAAACCACATCGCTTGAGGCCACGATACCATCTGAAGAGCCCGCCAACGAAATGCACTCTCTTAAGAACCAGTTTGAATATCAAAGTATTTTAAGAACCAAAGCTCTCTTTTAATGTACATTGCTAGGAGTCATCTATAATGGCTCTCATACCAGTATTAAAAAGGAAGATCCTGGATATAGGATATCAAAGTAATATTTTTCCTATTCCAAGACCTACCTACTAATGGATTCAAAGTTTACTAGAGCATTTGAGAAAGGTTTCACTATGAGTTTGTCCTTAAAGTTAGGGTTCAAATTTTTGGAAAGCAAAAAGGACTTGCTCTAGACAAGGAGTCACTGGTTCAAGAGCTCCTCATCCCGTCTCAGTTAATAATTAGGTCAGTCAGGCTTTACAGCACAGGGACTTCAATGTGAGAATTTGCTTACTCTGGTGGACACCTAGGGATGATTTTGGAGGAAGATAAATCACATGAGGTTTATGTATATATATTTTCTTTTTAATATGAACTCAGTGCGAAAAGAAGTTTATCTCTTTTATGAAAAATATACGGTACTATATACACAAATGTTAATTTCTGTACTGTTTCAGAAAAATGAATTTAAGGGTTAAAGATAATTTAAAAATAAATGTTACTTCTGTTTAATATACATTAAATGAGATTTCAAAATGAAATGCTTAACTCACAAAGACAGGGAAAAGGTGCCAAATAGCTGCTGATGAAGCGTAAGTACAAAGTAATCTTTCAGGCTCGGCGCCTACAGCTCAACCAGCTAAGGCGCCAGCCACATACACCTAAGGTGGTGGGTTCGAATCCCCAGCCCGGACCCGCCAAACAACAATGACGGCTGCAACCAAAAAATAGCCGGGCGTTGTGGCGGGCGCCTGTGGTCCCAGCCACTTGGGAGGCAGAGGCAGGAGACTCGCTAGAGCCCAGGAGTTGGAGGTTGGAGGTTGCTGTGAGCTGTAATGCCACGGCACTCTACCCAGGGGGACAGCTTGAGGCTCTGTCTCAAAAAAAAAAAGTAATCTTTCATTGTATATTATCTTTAAACCAATCAAAATAAAAGAAAAATAGGAATAAGCATCCTCCCAAATTCCATTAATATAAGTAAAAAAAGAGGAAGTTCTGTTTTTAACAGTAATTATACACCAAAAGAGTATAATTTGGCAATTTAAGAATATCACTTAAAAAACAGATCTAGAAAGACCAGGGTTCTCATACAGGTAAACTGACCATATACCCACGATTGATAGGATCCTATGAAACTAAGGAATATTAATAAGAAAAGGGAGTCTTTCCTGTATTTCTGAAAGCTCTGATCAGACTTGTATTTGTATCAATACTAACAGAAGCCAATAGATGACATGCTAATACTACTGATGATACGTTCATACACATTTGCTCCCTTTCCCTTCTTGCTTCCAACATTGTTTTACATCTTTGTCCATCCTGTTCTTGACTGAACAGTTCTTATTCCTCATTTCTCCATGCCATGAATATTTTAAAGGGAAATATCTGATCTCATTTTTCCTAGGCCTGATTCTTACATAGAATTCCTAGATTAGAGGATATGATTTTAAGACTCATTATTCCCTTCAAGTTTTTTATTGCTTATGTATATTATGCATTAACTGTAAAAAATACACTGCTACAAATGAAATAATAGACATTATTTTCAATCTTAACACACTATTATTTTGCTTGACAGAAAGGGAAAAAAAATTCTGCACATTTGCTGTTTGGTTCTTACCACTCACTCTCAGAACGCAATAAAAATGAATTCTTTTTGTAAATATGCTTTTTTTAACATTCATTTTTAATTTTCAAAATAAAGCCCTTACTTAGGGAATATACACCTATATTAAGCTTTTTTTAACATTCATTTTTAATTTTTTTAACATTTTTTAACTTCTTTTAACATTCATTTTTAATTTTCAAAATAAAGCCCTTACTTAGGGAATATACACCTCTATTAAGCCACAATATGTTCTTATCATTAAAAAAAAAAAAAAAAAGTTGGGGCAGCGTCTGTGGCTCCATGGGTAGGCACCAGCCCCATATACCAAGGGTGGGTTCAAACCCGGCCCAGCCAAATTGCACCAAAAAAAAAAAAAAAAAAAAAATAGCTGGGTGTTGTGGTGGGCACCTGTAGTTCCACCTTTGGGAGGCTAAGGCAGGAGAATTGCCTAGGTGTAAGAGTTGAAGGTTGCTGTGAGCTGTGTGACATCATGGCACTCTACTGAGAGTGATAAAATGAGACTCTGTCTCTACAAAAAAAAAAAATAAAAGCTTGGTGCCTGTGGCGCAAGCAGCTAAGGCACCAGCCATTTTTTTAAAAAAAAAGTTCATAGGCTGTTAAAGCTGCTCCTGATAATAAGAAAATTCAAAAAGTAAAGTTAGTTAAGTAATCCTACCATCCAGAGTAATAAGTTACTTCCTGCCAGGTATTTTTCTAGGTGTAAGTGTAACAAAAGGTAAAATTGTAAGGGAACTGCTTAATACAGTTTTGTCTTCCACTCAGCACATTATGGACATTCTTCCCTGCATCGCTGACAAACTGTGGTCCTTCTGTTTGCTCTCTGTATTGTACGTCCTGGGGAAGGGCCATCATAATTAACTTCCATGCACATCTTTCTACATAACTCAGATGTTCTTTAAATTGTTTGTTTCCTTAACTGTCCCTTAATTTCTCACTGTGCTCTCTTCAGGAGAAAATGTACACAATATACACAGCCATGGAAAAAGACCACCTAAATGTTTTACAACTATTAAGTGACAGTCAATTGATGCATTTTCTGCAGCCAAGCTCTAGCCTGCTTTACAGAACTAAAAACAGATAAAAAAAAAATGTATGGTAGTTCACAGGAGGACCCAGGGTAGAACAAGCAATAACACACTATATCAAGAGTGGACTCACAGGGAAAGAAATTAAAAGTGAACCTACAATGGTTTAGAGGAAACTGTCTTCCCCTCACTCCCTTTCGGTTCACATCTTACCTTCTGGAAATGCATTTGCTCCCCAAACCTCTGCTTTCGTCAACCTTTAGTATCCACCTTAGTCAATGACTTGTAACAGGTCCTAAACATTTATTAGCATACCACTGCATAATAATCAGCTCAAAATAAAGTTCTGTACCATTTGCAGATATCCATGTCATCATCATTTCTACCTTGGCCAATATCAAATTACAAACTCAGTATCACTTAGTATGGGGTTGGCAACAGCTGCACAGAGCTGGCTAGCAAAAGCTTGTCCAAGCTAACTCCAACACACTGTCCAAGTCTTATCAAGTTCTTGCCCTTGTTAGAGCACTGGACGACTTTTCCCTTTGAAAAACTATACCTACAACCACATGATGTTACTTTCTTGGACACACTTTTCTAGGGTTTTATTACTTCTCTACCCATTCTTACTTGGTTTCCACTCAGGTCCTCTTCCCAACTCTTAGATACTGTTTCCTAGAGTTTGGCCCTTAAGCCCTATCCATCCGCTCTGCATGTGATTCAAGCAGCCTCTACAACTGCCTATGCTGATCCATATTTTCCAAGACATTTCCTATCTGCATATACCTGCAGCCTTCTCAACATGTTCTCTAGAATTACTCTAACAGGTCATCTCATCTCCTGAGTTCACTCTGGTCTCTTTCCAATCTACTTTCCAGAAGGACAAAATAAGTAATTTTAATTAAAATGTAAGCATGATCATATGGCCTACATGCTTAAAATCTTTAAAGATTAACAATAAGGCACTTTCCAATGCCTGCTCTTGGTGACTATCCAGCTTAACATCCGCACCTTCCACAGAACACTCCATCAACCTCATTGAACTCTTTCACATAAAATGTGCTGACCACCCTGCTCCACCTGGGAAGCTCTCTCTGTACGTTACCAGTGTACCTTAAGCCAGCATCTTCACCAAGCTGTTACCACGTCTTCCCATGCTACCCAGGATAACCTCCTACAAACTCCCCAACACATGTACTCACTGGTATCTTTCACTGTTCCTATACTAGACCAAATGTTGGCTGACATCTGCCTCTATTTCCCTACCACCTATCTAGCTCAGTTCTTGTCCTAGAATAGATGCATTTTAATATTAGTAAAATGTTAAGCAAAGCACTTACTCTTCCTGTCAAATTAGTAAGATTTTAAAAGGAAATATTATCTAGTGCTGTTAAGGGTTTGATTAAAAACTATGTCCAGTTATTGATAAAAATGAATACATCTTGCTGGAAAATAATCCGTATCAAAAAAACCTCAAAATAATCATACTGTCTGACCCAGGGGTTCTGCTTGAATCAATCCAACCACGGATACATGCAAGTATAATTTTATATAAGATGTTCACTGCATGGTGAATGAGAGATGACCCAACTTTCCAATCAAGAGCAGGAGGAATAAAGTGTTATGACCACACTGTAAGTAAGAGGGAAATCGTGAAAGTGCATGAGCATATCATCCCATTCCATAAAAAGTGTGTATGTGGTCCTTAATTTAGATATACATAGCAAAGACCAGAAGCAACTAACCAATTACAACATTTTGGTGTAGCTCTGCATGATGAAAGTTACAGTTTAAGTTTTTATATTATATTTCCCAAGATTTCCACAAAATTCATAAAAAGCAGTTTGTGAGCTAACATGCAAAGCCATAGCAGATTTGCTCAGATTCCTAAAATGTGAAACACTAGAGCTGTGGCAGCGCCCGTAGCTCAGTTGGTAGGGTGCCGGCCAAGTGCACCAGGGCTGGTAGATTTGAATCTAGCCCCGGCCTGCTGAAAACAAAAAAACAGCCAGGCGTTGTGGTGGGCACCTAAAGTTCCAGCTACTTGGGAGACTGTGATAAGAAAATCGCTTAAACCCAGGAGTTTGAGGTTGCTGTGAGCTGTGACACCACAGCACTCTACTGAGGGTGACAAAGTAAGACTATCTCAAAAAACAAAACAAAACACTGGAGCTACACATCACTGTCATAAACAGTACACATTAATATAATAATTGTGGTCCAAGACTACGTAAGTCTTTACTGATCTTTGAAATTACACTGACAACTTTTGGATGTTTAATTACTAAAAATTTATCCATCAAGAGAGCTTAAAAATACTGAAAGACAGAAGAATAAATTACCTGTAGAATTAGTTGGTGCTGGAATGGTAGTAGGAGCTATTAAAAAAAAAAAAAAAGAAAACAAAAATCATATACATCAAAACTATCAAAATTTCACAATCTATGCTATTTCCTGACCTGCAATCATTTGAGTACCATTTTCACAATTTTTACAACACTTATGACTACCTGTGCAAGAGGCTGACAATTGCTCCACCCAATACCATTCTTCTCTTTTTAGAAATAAAGCCAATTTTTAGCAACACCTCCCCTTATCTTGGAAAGATACTTCTTTACCTCCTACATGTCTAGGTAGCATGAGTAATCCAGGAAGTATCCTCAAGGTAGACATGGGCCTCTCCCCTTCCCTTCCTCTTCTTGCTGGCTGGAAAATCACCTTGATGGCTGTGAAATGAGCACTCACCCTACACAGCAAGGTCAAAGCCACCCTGAGAAGTAAAGTGTAAAAACCTAAAGAAGCCTGAGTCCCCAGTGGTGGCAGAGCGACACTCTAGTCCTCTAGACTCCCTATACGTGAGACGAAAGTAAATTCGTTCACCATTTATCAAACCTTTGTAATCTGAGGGTTCATGTCCTTCACAGTTTAAACTGTTTGTAACTGGTATATCATCAAAAAAATAGCGTTACTTATTCAATCTTTCTTTAAATATGTGTCTTAAAAAAATTTTACATAATCTTGTCTCTAAGCAGTATCATCATGAAATCATAGGTCTGAGAGTTATTAGTTTATTCTCACACATTAAAATAAATCTTAAAAATATTCTTGAACCACCTAAACAAGTTAGGCATTGAATAAACTGATCTATGCTAATGAAAGCCTCAGTTACAAAGTTTATACTGGGATGGCGGGAAGAGCAGCACCCACCAAAAGTCAAGAGTCTAAGGTAGTCTTTCAAAAATCTTTTGTTCTCTTCAATTATTATCTATGCACCAAATCAGGAGTATGACTTTCCCATTAATTTATACTCATTAGGAAAAAAATCAGCTTTGGCTCAGTGCCCATAGCACAGTGGTTACAGCGCCTGCCACATGCACCTAAGATGGTGGGTTCGAACCCAGCCTGGGCTAGCTAAACAGCAATGACAACTGCAAAAAAAAAAATAGCCGGGCCCTATGGCAGGCACCTGTAAGTCCCACCTACTTGGGAGGCTGAGGCAAGAGAATCGCTTGAGCACAACAGTTTGAGGTTGTTGTGAGCTGTGACGCCATAGCATTCTATCGATTGAGGTCAAAATAGTGAGACTCTGACTCCAAAAAAAGGAAAAAAGAAAGAAAAAAAAATCAGCTGTTTAGGCCAGGCACAGTGGCCTATAATTGTAGCACTCTGGGAGGCCAAGGCAGTTGGATTGCTTGAGCTCAGGAATTCAAGACCAGCCTGAGTAAAAGCGAGACCCTGTCTCTAAAAATAGCTGGGCATTGTGGTACATGCCTATTGTCCCAGCTACTCTGGAGGCTGAGGCAAGAAAATCACTTGAGCCTTGAGGTTGCTGTGAGCTATGATGCCCCCACAGCATTCTACCAAAGGTGACAAAGTAAGACTCTGTCTCAAATAAGTAAATAAAATACAGAAAGTGGATGGATATAGAAAAGGTTCATTTAACTATAACACATACTGTGCTGATGACAAAAATGTAAAAATCACCAGTACCATAACCCCAAACGTGCCTAAACAAGGTTGTCCAAGCCTGTAAGATGCAAATAAAGATAGGGTCTAAACTACAGTGAATTCCTGGAAAAGTTTAAGGAGGAAAAAAAAATAGGCGATGAAACATCTATACTTATAAAATTCCAGAACATAGCTAAATCTTGAAACCAAGCTTCAAAATATGTAACAGAGAAGAAAATATGGAAGTTTTACAGACCAAGCTATCTCTTTAAACTTTGGAAAGTTAAATCTGTATCCCTGCCTCAGGCCAGTGGTTGGGAGGGGCAAGAGTGTCCTTTGTACCACAGGAGATGGCTCAATGAAACTGTGGCTTCCTGTCCCTCTCAGAGGTGGGAGAGGATCAGAATCATCAACCACAGCCACACAGTAATACCCCAAAGCTGAAAAGCTCTTTATTTCTGATACTGTAAGATGGGAGTCTGTAATTTTCCTCATTTGCCAGCAACTTAATAAACCTTCCTTTCCTTCTCCTCCAGACACTTGTGCTTATTCTTCTAATGTGGCCCCAAGAACAAGTACCAAACTTTTGCTAATAATATCATCCTTTTATCAATATAAATCTAATATTTACATCCAAATTTCTAACAAGATGAGAATCATGGCAATGCTTTAAACAAACTTGAAACAAAGCCTTGGGAGGCACTGATCTGATTGATCTCACTTCTCTGTGGCCACCTTCCCAACAACCAATATGAATACTTACCAGAACAAAAGTGTGTTGCATTCACCACTTGACAATCACTAACTGTTGAATTATGTGAACAATAGCTCTTATCTATTATGGAAAAAAAGAGAAAGAGACAAAAAGTACCAAGCACTCATTTATGTTGTCTTTGATTTTGCTACTAAGCTCTAAAAAAATCAAACCCCCAAATTTCAGAAGTCCACAGACCAACAAATACTGCTTGTCTCCTTTCCCCACTGTTTAAGGCTATTACACAGGATCTAAAATTTAACTCTTAAAAATCCAAATAAGGCTGGGTGCAATGGCTCATGCCTATAATCCTTGCATTCTGGGAGGTGGCCAAGGGAGAGGATCACTCGAGCTCAGAAGACCAGCCTGAGCAAGAGTGAGATCCTATCTCTACTAAAAAGAGGGAAAAAATTAGCCAACTGGGGTGGCAAGTGCCTGCAGTCCCAGTTAGTACTGCTTGAGCTCAGGAGTTTAAGATTGCAGTGATCTATCCTGATGCCACTGCACTCTAGCAGGAGCAACAGAACAAAACCGTCGCCAAAAAAAAAAAAAATCAAATGGATAAAACTGGAACACTTAGATCTCAGAATTGTGGCACATCTACTGTACAATCCAGGAAGGCTGCCAGAATATACAAAAGAGGGCAGAATCATTAGGGGAAAGTGGTCAGATCTGAGGAGACGCTCCATAGTAGCAGTAGAACCTCTGTTCCAGATCTCACCACTCTAATCTAGCTTTCCTGTATAGGCAGACTTAGAGCAAGATAAGGGGAGAGCCTTCACCAACAAATCTTTAAGTAGAGTATTCAACCTCCAAAATTTCACCAATTCCTGAATATAGGGGGCTGGGGTGCACCCTAAAATTCTATTTTATGACCTAAAAGAAATGATATACTAGTACAACAAAAAAGTCAATTTAATCCCAAATTTAGTTAATACCCTCATTTTAAAGAGTTTTTTGAACTTTATGTAGTGATATAACTTCTAGAACTATACACATTTCACCAAAGAATAAAGAAACTTAACACGTAGCTTTGGCTTTTTGTTTAAAACAAACTAACCTTCAAAACGGTTTTCCTGATAAGAAAAAAAAGCAACCACTTTAAACAGATTAAAATAATACATGGCATAATCACTTGGCTTGAACAAAAACCTTATTTGCATTTCAACCTGTTCCCCACTCAATCAAATACATGTAAACTTTCCTTATTTTAAATTTAACAAAAGCACAGGAAAGTCACCTCTCCCCTTACCTCATTCCTCCCCTGCATTTAAGGATAGAACAAAGTTTCATACTCCTTTTCTACGTCCTCTTGCAGGACAATGACAGATAAATGTCTCTAACAGTTTTTAGGAGAAAACTTTCTTTCACAGCTAATTCCAGTGTATTACTATACTCTCAGTCCTTATAATAGGCTAAAATCTTTCTTCCTTTAAAAACTACTGGGGAACAAAATAAAAAGCAGGGGATGGTGGCGCACACCTGAAGTCCTAGCTAATGAGAAATCTGAGGCAAGAGGTGCGGGTCTAAAATTCTCTGTGAAGAGAGAGGATGGGAGACACGAAGAGATTTTCAGGAAGAGTGTTGAGAAACTAACATTTTAAAGAACAGATCTGCAAAATAAATAGTGCATGCTGTCCTAAATATTCTACATAATTTTCAAAAGGTCAAAGTATTAGTGTCTCTAAACATGTTATTTTCTGCATTCTCAAAATTTCTTTTTTGAGAAAAAAAGCATCCTCAAGCTTTCTTACCTTTACATTCCATCCAAAAGCAGGTAGTATTAACATTGCTAGTATTGGTACAGGAAGCACAGCTGTTTCGGCCTTCACAGGTTTCTGAGGGGAAAGAACATATGAAATATCAATGAATTAAGCTGACACCTCAATGGAGTTTATACTACTTCTCTTTTTTGAACAATAAGCATAATACATACCACCAAAATTACTAATTCAGATAAAAGATAAAACTTGATAAGAAAAGCAAAGTAGTGGACTACACTTAGTACCTTGAAGCACAATCCTTTTTCACAGGGCAAACCATCTGAAAGCTACTCAAGGTTTCTTGAAACATTTCAAAGCATCTTTCATTGATAAAAATATAAGAAAAAAGGCTTTGCTGTTAAAACCAACACTACCCATAGGGAAATCACTGCCCCCAAATATCAGATTAAACTCTGGGACTGTTAATAGTTACAGATCCTCACAGGCATTCCAAGCTCTGAGGGTGCTCCTTCCGCAAAGGAGTTATTTTCCCAGGAATTCTCAACTCACAAACCTTCCTCTCCCCACAGGGTTCTACACAACTGGAGATAACATCTAGAAGGGCTACATTCATGTGTGTATAATTCAACAAGTTAACAAGGTATTTGTCCAAAGTTTATGCAGAAAGGTCTAGAAACAAGTACTCAAAGAAGACTAATTACAATTCAATGTCTGGACAAACAAAGGGACTACAGGAGGTTTTAGTCATTTTCTAATAAACTAGATGCCTGCAACACACACTCTCATTTGCACCTTAAAAAAAAAAAAATCACGGCTTGGCGCCTATAGCTCAACCAGCTAAGGTGCCAGCCACGTACACCTAAGGTGGCGGGTTCGAATCCCCAGCCCGGACCCGCCAAACAACAATGACGGCTGCAACCAAAAAATAGCTGGGCGTTGTGGCGGGCGCCTGTAGTCCTAGCTACTTGGGAGGCGGAGGCAGGAGACTCACTTGAGCCCAGGAGTTGGAGGTTGCTGTGAGCTGTAATGCCACGGCACTCTACCCAGGGGGACAGCTTGAGGCTCTGTCTCAAAAAACAAAACAAAACAACAAAAAAAAAATCACTCTGCAAACGCACTGCATTTCAATACTTCAATGGTTAAGTATTTACTAAAGATTGGGACATCCAAGGTGGGAAGGGCTACAAAATAGGAGCGACAAATTCTTCAGAAATATGTATAAACAATAAATGCTACATATTTAAAATCTTTTGTGCTAGATGAAGGGTGTAGCAGAGTATTATTAATAATAAATAAAACTTGCCACCTTTCAGACTGCACCTTAATCCAACTAAGATGCCCAGAAAATACATATTACCTCCTTTGCATGCATTTCAATTACACAAAGACAATTAACTTGTTATTCCCAACTTCTGCACACATCACAAGTGAGAAGAAAACTGATTAAGCAGAAGACAAAAAACATTCTGCTCCAACATCTTAAATATAGAGTGGTCAGAATTTCCAGTATTGTACTGCAGTTTACTTTTTCATCTAAAAATCATCTCTTCCTGAAGCTAACAAAAATGAAGTGTTAAATTTACTTCACTGTATTTAAGTATTGTGAAATATTTAAACTAAAGACGTTTTAGAACAACATGAATGACACGGCATACTCATTACACTTCAGCAACACCACGGTCAAGAAGCCAAGATACTCTTTACCCACCGTAAACTCGAATAACCAATCATACTGGACTGCATGTTTAAACATCTAGAATTTCTTCACCTTAATACCTCCAACTCACTTTTCTTCCCTCTTTTGTGTCGTCACAGAATATACCACTTTCTCCTTTAACGGTGTGTGTGCTTTAACCAACTTCACTAGACGGCAGTTTTTAACAAAAGTTAGGATCCTTATCGGGTTTTAAAAAATCGATAAACCTGCGTTCCAACCCCCATTACACAACCTACTGAACAGACGGCACCGGGAGGGGTACTTTATATCCCCGTCTCTCAACCTCCTAGGTTTCGCCCCCTCTCTTCCAGTTTCGCCTTAAGTACTAAAAGATACAGACCCTTAGGACACAACATGGACCATAAAGTTTTCACTACTTACGTGCTCAAATCTGCTACCTTCCACCCCTACTTACAGAATCAATGCAATTAAATCCCAAGTAACCCAGTCTGAGACACCAACAAGCATTAGTGTCTCTTTTCCTCTTTCATCAACTTCTGGAGAAGGGTTCCTTGGAAGCGAAACCCTGGGTAAACGACTGGCCCCCGGGGAGGGAGCGCGGCCTCACCGCCAACTTCGGAGGCGCGTCACCTCGCCCCCCCATCAACCCCGCAGCTGCCACCGCGGAAGGAAGCCACGTCCCCACTTCCGAGCCCAAGGTGAGGCTAGGAATTACAACGCACTTTTAAGAAGTGCCGCGACGTGCAACACTTTGGGGTCGGAAACAGCCCGCCAGCCTCGGGGGCTGCCCGGCCCCTTCCCACCCGGGCGCTCCCCACCCGCGCTGGCCGCTACTGGACCGGGGCGGGCCGCCATGTTGCCCTGGCAGCCGCCGCACCGGAGCGCGGCCCGCCCGGCCCGACCCTCGGCGCACCCGGGGGAGAAAGTACGGCTTGACTGGGCGGGCGAGGGCAGAAAGCCCGCTGGTGGCGCCCACCTGGTACCGGAGTGGTGACCGGTGCGGGGGTTGTCACCAGGCTCGTGTTTATCTTGGTGGTGGTCTCCACAGTCGTCCCGAGCGGGGCCAGGGTCGTGTTCGGTTCCGCAGATAGCGCGCAGAGCGCGGCCAGGCAGGTGGTGGCCCACAGCAGCCGGCAAGAGAGCGCCGACATCGTGTCCCCAGCGCTGGTGTCCGGCCGAAAGCTGCGGCGCACAACGCTCAGTCAATCCCTCCGTCCCCTGCGGCGCGGCTTCCGAGACTTCGCTCCCCGCGGGAGCGCGCGGGGGTCACGTGAGGGCCCCAGGCGGCGGCGCGCAGGGGCGAGGCTGAGAGGAGGCGGGGTGTGGGCGATACCAATGGGAATGCCACTGGAGGTGGGGGAAGCACTGAAGTCAAGAGGAAACCGAAGGATGCTGCCCCTCAAAGAGACTATAGTATGGCAAGAAAATTGTCTGACCTCTGCGAATGATTTTTCTTGCTCTCAGCTTTGCACACAAGGAGCAAGTGAGCTTTCCTCCTGCCCGCCACAAGAAAAACCCACACCCTGGCTCGGATGGAACAACCTACGTGACGTGGCATGCAGCGTCCTCCTGAGCGCCCCCGCGAGGCTGTAATTTCGCGGCCCCGCGTGACTTGTCCGGCTGCGCCTCCTGCGCTTAAGGTTGATGTTGTTTCCAAGAGGTGCAAGTAAAACGAAGCAAGAACTAAACTTGTGCCGCACTGCCACATCCCTAAAGTGCTTACTTATATCCTCGATAAGACCTCCCCTTCCCCCGCCTTTTTCCTTTAAGATCGATTTTGCTGGAAGTAACTTTGTGATGGGACTCCCTGGGGGAAATGGAGACACCACGTGGTTGAGTTTCTGCTCCGTGGCCCACAAAGTGTGAGCGGCTGAGGTCCTCAAAGTGGTCCTGCCAGAGCCACATAGTGTCTCCCCCTGTCACACTTTCCCATATTGGTTTTTCCGAACGGCAATTTAAGACTGTGGCGGCAGCGCTGCAAACTCCAGGGCTGTAGTCAGAGAACCAAAGCTAGTATGAATCGCAAGGCTGTTGGGCAGATTACCACCCCCACATTACGGGGGAGGAAATTGAAACTCAGAAAAGAAACTTGACCTAGACACGGGATTGCCTGACATCGGAGCTAGATTTTTAAGAGTAAGCTTTCCGGCGCTGCCCAGGCTTCCAGTAAGGGTGAGCGCCATCTGATGCCCAGTCTCAAAATACAGTATCTGCAAAATTTGATATGCATGTGTCAATTAGTAAAAAAAGTGGAAACTTTAAAAGTTGTATTTAATGCTGTGTCTTGAGATGTTTTGTATTTATCATGTAATTTTAATACTTGCCCTTATAACATGAATGTTAATTACTTTTGTGAAAGTCTGTTTTGCTGAGCCACAAACACTGAAAAAGATGACTACATAAGTGCTTTACCTTTTTGCCTCAAGTCGAAAGCTTTTATTTCCCTCTGGAATGTTAATCAGCGTGGTTCTTTTGTACCCTCATGACTATGAACATTTGTTCCATTAACTACACTCGTTGGAGATTTGTTTGGATGTAAACAAGAAACGGATCGTTTTGAATGATCTGGCCCCTTCCGTTTGGAACGTAGGGCCATGAAGTAAATAAGAAATGTCTGTACCGAAGGTGGCGGGTTCAAACCCGACCCTGGCCAAACTGCAACAAAGAAATGGCTGGGCATTGTGGCGGGCTCCTGTAGTCCCAGCTACTCGGGAGGCTGAGGCAAGAGAATCGCCTAAGCCCAGGAGTTGGAGGTTGCTGT